GCGTCTCGAATGCACAGAGTGTATCCTCTAGGCTGATATGATGCGTCTCAAATGCACAGAGTGTATCCTCTAGGCTGATATGATGCGTCTTGAATGCACAGAGTGTATCCTCTATGTTATGGAATGTTATGGAATGTTATGGAATGTTATGAAAAGTGGGAATACAAAAGGAATTAGATTTAGTTTGTGCCTTTAAAATTGCCTCTTCAGTGACATACTTTAATTTTGTTCCCCAAATATCACTCTCTCGCAGCCACCAAGCTGATCCAACTTGATTTTTGTGATTCTATTTTGACCCAAGGTCTCCACAAAATCAGTCTTGTTTGCACACTGTTGGGGATAACACTACTTCCTTATCTGTAAACCAATCATACTATTGAAATATGCAACTCGTAGTATAAGGATATACTATTTCACCTACATGTAGTGGTTTGGCATGTCACACATGTCTGTATCTCATTAATTGTCATAATTATATATTACATGTCTAAATTTTTAGCTTCACGGAGCTTATCATACGAGTTATTGTCAGTCAAAGCTGCTTATTTGTTAGTATTAATCAACATAATTGGATGTCGAATTATATTTGTTAAATATATATTTGAATTATATTTCCTCCTGGCTTTGTTAGGGCTGATTGAAAAACGAAGTATTGATGGCAAAGATGAGCTTGGCAGCAAAGATGAACTGAATTGCAAGAACACAGCTAAGATTGGTTACTTTTCTGGCAAGTTTTTGATCGAAGACTCAGTGTGCTGGCAGTAAATATCCCCTTTTCATATTTGGGGTGGACTTCCACCTAGCAGTTTTTCTACTTATATTATACTCAAATCAGTCATTTTACCACCAATACTACTAACTAGAATGCCATCATAGACAATGTAATCAAGATCCATTTATGACATTATTTTCTAGATATGAAAAAATGATCTGGGTTGTGATAAAAATAAATCGTAGATTGCAGCAGTTTTGACTTATCTCTAGTTAGTTAAGTCTCTCAGTGATAGGTCTGGATCAATCCTTAAGAATATTTAACTTGCATAATATAAAAGAATTTAACTTTAATTAACCCATTATTACTGAGGAAATGCAACAATTAATGATTAATTTATGTATAGAACTACTTGTGTATAGCAAATTAAATCAATGTCCTAGGATTCAAAAAGTGTCACTGGTTCTCCTACTGTGTGTATCTATAGACCATTACTTTCATTATCAAATATGCTGTGACTATGAAGATGAGGCAAAGCTAGTAGGATGAAATTGAAGTCTATAAAATATCTTTGTTGTAAAATGATTTCAGAAAGTGATGTTTAAGTACATGAGCCAGCTGCCTTTGTAGTGAAGAGTATGCTGCTGTTTATACCTGTATACAAATGTACGGTAGACAGTAGACCAACTTGATTTGATGACACAACTGCAAATAAACACTAGAATGTTATTTCATAAGTTGGAAGAAAGATTTTTATCCTGTTATATTTTTTAAATGTAAATTTTAATTGAGTAATAATCTTATCATGTTTGTATCGCATGTAAAATGTTTTTATATATGGCACAAGAAAGTGATTAAATACTGTTCGTATCGATGTACAAAGATTGGTGTATGCAAATAATAGATTAAAATGTTTTTGCGTTTATTCTGCATGTGTTGATTGTGTTAGTTTGTTAATTTACCATGTCTCCCTTTTCCACCTAGATGCCGCTAAGCCAGCTGTAAGCAATGTATTCTCACAATCATGTCTTGTTTGGTAGATGAGAATTTGTCAAGAGATCACAAACAAATTTGCAACAAGAATATATGCTATAGCGAAATTCATCGATATTGTCGTGACAAGCTGCTTTTGCATTGAATGCGTCAAGTAGGATTATCAACTTTATGTACAATGTAAGAGTGTTGTACAGTCACTGACCAGGGTGCAAGCCAGAGTAATACAAGGTTATTACAAGAATAACACTAAGTATGTATGAAGGCACTACAGTGATAGATTATAGCCATGACAATGAAAATATTTTACATTTTATGCCATTTTGTACTTCATCCCATATTCTGCTTGGCTGTAAATGCCTACTGGATGGACAGTTTTCCTTATTGAATTACCTTTAAGTAGCCCACAGGAAGAAAGTATTAGCAAGCATAATGACACTCTACCATCAGACGAACAATTAGTATCTGCTCAGAAAACATGAACTTGCATATTAACCTCTGTTCACATCTCTGATCAAGTTCAAACTTCACACATATGCATTTTTGTCACAATCAAATCCAAAATGGCTTCTTAAATCATAAACATGTAACTGTGGGTATCCCTTTGATGTAACCTCAGTTATAGTCTTCTACCCAATTAATATAACACCGTAGAGGAACTGACAAAGCTATATCAACACTACTGTTGCATCCTCTCCTGTTCCACAAGCCAAACAAGGTTGCCCTGGGTGTAGCTACACAAAATGAGCCAACTTTTTAGTTAGAATATAATCAGAAAATTTACATTTGATCAAAACTGAAAAGCCAAGTCCATTCTTCTGATACAAGTAAAACTAAAAATTGCTAAGTTAACATTTTTTATTCCACTGGGGAAACAAAAAGGGTAAACATAACTGCCTAAAAGTAAATCAAAGAAAGCTTAGAAAGAACTCCTGTGTGCTGAGAGTATTGAAGACACATTAAAAATTAATTAAAAATTACTTGTACCTGACATATTGATGGAAAAGCTGAAAACTAATTATGTAAATCAGGTAACAAACATGAACAGAACCGAACAAACAAATTATGAATTATTATGCTAGTTAGAGAATTAATATGAACAAATTTTAACCCAAAATTAATCAGGCCTGTCTATTGTTCTAGAGCATTTATGTACCAAATTTTATTCAAATGTGATGATCAGTAATTGAGATATCAGTGTTAATTAATTATGTTAATTAGGAGATTAATAAGCATAAATATTCACCAAAAACTAATTGGGTTTCTGCATAGTTCTCTTTAAAAGTTTCATTAAAATCCAATTTGTGGTTCTTTATATATCAGTGGAACATTATGCAAATTAGGTAATTAATATCCAATTAAAACTAATCAGGTCTCTGCATAATCCTAGAAGATCTATGTAGCAAGTCTCATTGAAATATGATTACTACTTGATATATCAAAAGCTGAAAATTAATTAATTATGCAAATTAGGTAATTAATATGTACTCATATTATCCTAAAAACTATCAGGTCTGTGCAGTGTCCTATGACATCTATGTACCAAGTGTCATTGAAATGTGATGATTACTACTTGAAATATCAAAAGCTGAAAATTAACTAATCATGCAAATTAGGTAATTAATATGTACTCGTATTACCCTAAAAACTATCAGGTCTGTGCAGTGTCCTATGACATCTATGTACCAAATTTC